AACAATCCACTGCACATACATCTGTCACTGCTCATCCTTTGCCATGATTACATGCGACCTTCCTCAGATGGAAGAAGTGGGCGGAGCATGCAGAGGCTCATTACAATTTAAAGGTAAAGGCACAGAAAACAATTGTTCAGAGCAGGGCTGTTCAAAAAAAAAAAAAAAAGCAGAGATTTAAGGAATCCACCTGGACTCAATCTTTCACCACCTTGTACCAAAGTACGTTACTACAACCATTCCATATAGACATCATGGAAGCACACTAAAGTATCATAACGTGTCCCCTTGAAAGTTTCTTCCAATCATTGTTTTAAACCTTACTTTGTCCTCATAATCAGAGAGACAAGTACATATACACTACGATCATCTGCTTGTACAGATGCTACCCTCCAGTCACAAGAGTTCTCGGTTGGCACAGGCACTGGGTGAAAAGCTGGTAAACAGTATTAATGTGAAGACTGTCTTCAGCAATTATATGCTCGACCCAAACGGGAGAAATGAAGGTCAGAGGAGACGCGGCTGATTGTCATCAGCCGGAGGTGACAGATGAAAAACATCAGGCTTCTGCTTTTCATAATAATTCCTTAAAAGCATTTCTTCCTCTCAGGACGAGCTAACAGAGGGAGGCTTCGCATGGCTTGATAGAGAAAGAGAGGGAGAGAGAGAGAGAGAGAGAGAGAGAGAGAGAGAGAGAAAGAGAGAGATGTCACAACACTGAAGTGTTTATTTGTAATTAGGTTAAATAATGAGGGCAGCCTACAGCTTCTTTTACTTATTTAATTAAGACATACTTTTGTCTTTTGGACCTCCTTGCAGAAACATGGGTATGTTTTTTTTTTCCTCTCTCCCTGTCAGTGGCCTAGTCACGTCAGGAACAAGTCGATCCAGGCTACAGTTCTGCAGCGGGTCCTGACAATGTTAACGTCAAAGGTTTCTTCTTCAGGGCAGAGCGGGCCAAATAACAGTACATTAGAGAGAAAGAGCGAGATTCTTTGTTGCACTAGAAAGAGGACAAAGTGGATTTCGTCAGTCCGTGATGAGGTTACGACGTTCATCTGACGAGGACATGTTAATACGTTCCAGTCTCTGCAGCGTGCCCTGGGAATCTGGCTTTCTTTGGCAGGCGCTCCGTATCTGTCCGTTTTAAGTAAACCATGTCCTCACTTTTACTTTGACTATGTTGTACTGTAATTATCAGTCAAGCACAACTGTTGTGTCATCGGTGGCTAAACCTCGAATTGTAAGTGGACGTTCCCAGTGCAGACAAGGCTCGTTGCAGGAATTGCGGAGTAAATGTGTGTGAACTTCAGTTGATAAGGAGCCAGAAACTTAAAACCACAGGCTAATTCAGTTAGCTGAGTCAAAACATAAACTGACTGACATGCACAGAGAGACTATCCAACCTCAGCCTGGGGATCAATTTGTTAGTGTGATTCCATTTCTGTTGAACTACCTTAATAATAAAAATAATTCATCATTTCAAAATGAAACCTTGTCGTTTTTAATGTAAACAATAGGCTCTGTTAAACCAATCAGGTGGTGAGATGTCATAGGAGCAGACATTCCATAACTAATTAAACTAAACTAAAACTAATAAAAATATTTTAATTTAAAAAGCAATAGACTTTTTTTGTCTTTGAACTTACTTCCTTAAACTAACTTTAAACTCTTAGGTTTTTTTCTTCTTCTGTACCTTCTATGAAATATTTCAATTTTCCTCCTGACTATAATTTGTTTGCGAACTAAGATGTTTCAGGTACTATACCTATACGTGATCAGAGCGCTGATTTTTTTTTCATTTATATATAGTAAGAAATTGAATAAAAAACCTTCTCCATAACAAAGAAAGATGTTTTAACCCATTCCAGTTGAGTCCAGTACTGAGACACAGAGACATGTGATTAGTAGTTACTTGTATGTGACCTTGCCTGAGCCTCAGACAGTGTTACTGGTCGAGCACGTGCCCTTTCATTAGTCTGACATCTCTCTAATCCCAGTCTGCAGCCAGACGCAGCCTTTGCTTTAGCCACTACCCAAAGCCAATACCTGAGCAATCTCAATGCGCTCACATTAGCAGTAGCAGCTGTTAGCCTGCTGCATGTCTGTCTACTGCTGCCTTTAAGTTACATTCAAATTTAATCAAATTGAATGGTATCTCCCTCCAAACTAAATCCACCTTAATGACAAATTGCAAAGTAATAGCTAATCTCTGCATATACTGTAGATGTGTCACTAGATCAGTAAAACCTCACCATTTACACTAGAAGAGAGAATTCATCAAAACAAATTCTTGCTTGCAGTGGGTTTTTTTTAAGTGAGCAAAACTTGAGAATGGAACAAGAAAAAGTGAGTAAAACTCTGAACATTTTTCATTGCAACAGAGTCTGCAGAATGTCTTTATTTAAGGTAGTGGAGTGACAGAGATGAATATGTAGCTAACTGTTGGGAAGTGTGGATGGATGGGTCTCTTTCCCAGATGGAAATATTCTCCTGATTTAGTAACAGGAGCAAAGATACAGACCACTAGCTGGGCTGCAGGATGATATCTTCAGGAAATTATTTTCAACCCAGTGACCAGAGTTTTCTTTCCCACTGAAGGCTGTTAGAGTCTAATGCTGTGAGTGCAGCTGGATATCCATCATCTTGGGTGAGTAAGATTGAACTTACCAGAGTCAGAGTCTGCGCCAAGCTGGAAAGTATGAGCCAGGCTAATGCTTTGGTTACTAAAGGCAGCAACGACTCAGCAGAAGTAAAGTAAGCTGGACAAAAAAAAAAAAGACGCAGTTGGGGAATGTATGGAGGAGGACAAGAAGGTGGGAGAAAAGAGGAAGAGAGAAACACGGCATTAATTGTAGGCCAAGCAGTAGGACAAAGGTAAAAGAGGCAACACAACCGAGTGAGAAGGAGGAGAAGGAAGATATGAATGGAGGAAGAAATAATCATGACAGCGAGAGAAGGAGGCTGAGGCAGATGAAAGGAGCCGAGGAGGATAAGGATGGCAATAAAACAATGTGCGAATAATGAGCAGACTTCTGTAAGATATGAGAAATTGTACTGGGTGGAGTGAAAAATGATGTAGTGTGTGGGTACAGGAAGTAAAGGCAGGAGAGAAAACAAAAAGAGTTAACCACAACTGTGACTGCCAGCCAGGATCTACGCTGTCAAACAGAAGTGCAGAATTCAAAGAGCCACCTCCCTGCTGCACGTTTAATGTACTGCATAAGCATATCACCACAGTCAAATGTTGTGAGTGGATATGCAGGGGGTGTGGATCAAACTACAGAGAGAGAGCAAAGCAGAGTCGCTTCCTCAGAAACACCTGCAAACTCCCGGAGAAAGGAAAAGACAACAAAAACCGCCGTCACCCCAGCTGAGATGACTCTCTAAAGATGGATACGTTTCTGTGAGGAGGAAGTACTTCAGCACCTCAGCTGACGCTTTTAACAGAAAATGGAAATGTCGCAGCATGCTGAAGACAAAGAGAGGAGATGGATATTCAACCTTAGGTAGAACCTAAAATGGACCACAACTGCCTCAAGTATTCTGTTTCCAAAATGTTATGGGCAAAATGAGTTTTTATTCCTAAAATGAACATTGTTGAGAGCAAATAGTTGGCTAATACACCCAACGGATCCAATGACATAGATATTTCAGCTGTTACAGCATGACTAAATACTAATCTCTGGCTCTGAGTGGTAACAAAATGTTGTTTTATTTTTACCATTGTACCTTGCATGTTTTCAAGAGAGGACAGAGGGAGGAGCCTGTGGCCTCGTGACAACACACACCAACTCACACACCAAAAAAAGCAGTGTCACAGACTACCAGAAAGACCAGTCTATAAATATGATGAAGCTAGATTTGGCTGAAAGACAAATGAAGAAAAGCCCTGATGTTGCATACAGATTCCATTGGCTGCGACCAAAGACGAGGCCACAGACATACAGGTGCATTCATTTTACCTATGTCCGATTATATCAGCCAACCAATATTATCGGCCAATATTGGCACATTATTTATTGTCGGTCAAATCGTTAGTGGTTTTTTCCTCCGATAATGAAATCCTGATAATGAAATGCCTGGGTTTGGCCCAGATGATGTGAATGTAGCTTTGAAGTGACAGTGAAAGTGAATGATGTAGCTTTGAAATGACAGTGAAAGTGAATGTGTCTTTGTGACACAGTACACATCGGACATTCTTACTCTTAATGTGTTGGCTTTCACTCACAGTGAAGGGGAAATAAATAACTTTCTCAGATGACTTAAGCATTTCCAAAAACAATTGACTTTTCCTTCACATTTTCAATTACTTTACCAGGATTTGGAAATTGGTCATTAGTTTCCTAGATTTTTTCAGAACACGTGACCCCTGAGATATCTTCACTGCTCTATTTTCATGTCCAGCAAGAGTCAGGGATATTTGGAGGTTACATTAAGTTGATTCATAAAACATAATAAATAAACGTTTCACTAATGTAACATTTTAAAGCCAGAAAGCAAACTTAGTTCAGAGGTGAATCAAAAGTAATGGCATTGGAAATGTTTATATAGATGCTTTAAAATAATACAGAAGCTAAACCAATTCACCTCAATCCTAGACTGACAGAAAGAAGAGATTCTTATGGTTTTAACAGACACACTCAATTCTTTATGTCATATAAAATACTATGAAATTGCTGCAATTCATGCATTGCATGGAATTAGGCTGTTAGCTGTTAGCCGAAACAGTTGACAGTGACAGCATAAAAATAGAGCAATCCATCAGAGGCTGTGTCAATTTTGAGAGAAAAAAAAAAAAAGATATAAAATGCGTGGTGAAATGTAAAACATCAGTATCAATGTTATGGAGAATGAAAATATACTGCTATTCAGTGTCACTCTCCAAAGCATTACCTTTCCTTAAATGAGGCTTATTTGTGACTGTAAAGATCAGAGGAGCGACCCTGCAGATCTGATGGCACTTTTAATTTTAATAACCCCGCTCTCGTTGTACCAACCTGCAGGCTGACTGTGCTGGTGATGTTCGCTTTGGGCAGCGACACGGCCACACTGGTGCTGTTAGCGTTCTCCAGCCACTTGGACAGCAGCTCCAGAGTCAGCAGTTTGTCCAGCCGAGCCAGATCCTCCACATGGAAGGGCAACAGGAGGACCAAGCTGGCCTTACCTCCCCACAGTGGTACCTCCAGAACTTGCACCATGTTTGCAACGTCTTCATAAAGACGGTAAAAACCTGGAGGAGGCAAAAAGAAAAACACAAAAAAGTCTCCTATGTCTTCTGGTGCTGACAGGGCAGAAATACAGCACACTCTGCCTTGTTGGTGGTCTAAGATTATACATAAAATATGAAAAGTGTGTTAAATAAATGATAAGGTAAACAGGGATAATAGCACGGAGGAGATTTGGACTTCAGAGATGTTCAAGCCATTACTGGGTTTGAGTTTTTTTGCTGCTTTTAATTGTCAGTTGGAGTTAGAGTTAGAGTTAGAGTGTGTTTACCTGCTCTGTGCATCATCATTACTTTGGTGTATTTCTTCCCCAGGAAGATTCGACTGTCTTTGCTGTCGTCACTGAATTCTCTCTCCCACAGGCCTGAACAAACAGAGAGCTTTAAATACAGGCAGGTACACAGGAAATACTGCTGATCTGTGTAAAGATCTATGTGTAACGTTGATTCAGATGTCTACTCTGTTCAGAGCTGTGAAATTATAGAACATTACTGTGTTAGTTAAGACAGGGGCCCCAGGCCGCTAGATAGATGGATGGATGGATGGATGGATGGGTAGGTAAATGGATGGATGGATGGATGGATGGATGGGTGGGTGGATGGATGGATGGATGTATAGATAGATGGATGGATGGATGTATAGATAGATGGATGGATGGATGGATGGAAATAGGTGGATGGGTGGTTGGATGGATGGATGTATAGATAGATAGATGGATGTATAGATAGATGGATGTATAGATAGATGGATGGGTGGTTGGATGGATGTATAGATAGATAGATGGATGTATAGATAGATGGATGAGTGGTTGGTTGATGGATAGATGGATGGATGTATAGATAGATGGATGGATGGATGGATGGATGGATAGATGGGTGGATAGACCACTGGCCCATGGTGCAAAAAGGTTGTGGACCACTGAGTTATGAGGTCCTTAAGGTCCTATCAAATGTCCACCAATCCCCACTCAGCTTTTCTTACCCCCCTGGCAGCTGTCATTTAAAGAGAGTGGCAGTTTTACAGCTGTAATAGCAGCACAACACACCAGCAAATCTGCTGGAACCTTCATCAGAGGCAGGGCACAATAGAGTGAGGTCAACAGATTATGACTCCCACTAACTGTGTGTCACTCTTTCTGAATGACGCCCAGGGCACACCAGAGCTGTAAGTAATGATTGTTTTATTGATTCATCACCTTCAAAAGATCAGCGCAATTATAAGACAGTGCCGAGGTGAACGAAGGCTAAAAAAATCTAACGCTTCATTTACTCTAGTGAAAGTGTACAGAACGTTGTTTATTAAGACACATTTTTATTGGACAAAGCATGACAAGCCATTATTGATGATTAACAACATCTATGAATGACAGAATGATGATAAAATGCTGACTGCGGGCTCCCAGAGAAGGCATATTTAGAAAGCTTGTTTAGTTAAAAACTTATTACTTATTACTTTACAGCACATGTCCATTGATGTATGCAACAAGAATTGCAACAGTATTTTGATTCAACATTATTTAGTAAGCAAATTAACTTAGAAGCTTTAAACACCACTGAGGTGGTCAGCAGGGTCATTTAATATGCAAACATCAGCCAAAAGGCTTGACATGTTGAAATTTAGACCTGATGAATTCAGGGTAAGAGAGTACAAAATTGAACAAGGAATCTTAAGGCAGTAAATCAACAAAGTTGTACTAAACACTGTATGTACAAACATTGTCTAAATATGTGTCTCTTTGATAGATATTTTTCCGTACTTTACAGACTACATATTCATTAAACAAATACAAAACCTGTTGTTTTTACAATTGGCATTAAAGTAAATCGCCTCAGGCTTCAGCCTCGTAAAACCACTATTAGAGGAGAAAAAGTCAAATAAAGGATGCTTAGATGACATATGTTATTAAGTGATTAAGATATAAACACTTTGAATACCTATCCATGTACTCAACAGTAGAGTACTGTTTTACAGAGAGAAACCATCAAGCACTGCAAAGGTTCCTTCAAACAGACAAACAAGTCAGAGCATGTATCTCTGCCATGAATGTAAAAGAAAACTGATGGCACTTGGAAGGCGAGCCGAGGCGTTCTTTGTCGCGTATATTTGCTCAACATTCATAGAGAATATTCCTCACACAATGGACAGTATCATATGTCCAACACTTGCTCGGGCTTTCCCACAAATCATTCTGCCTCACTTGGACCCGGGCCAATCAGAAATCATAACACAGTGACATGTGAGTCTCCCAGCGTGGCACGCCAATGCGAGTCAAAGACATTTGCTTCGCTTCCTGCTAGATCAGATGCAGGAGTGTGTGATCACATTGGAATTCCGGCTGAGGGTTACCCAGACTGGCAGCCGTGTTGTTTTAATGATGTCATGTGATGAAAATCAATTTCTCTTTGAATACTGTTGAGTAAACTACACTATAATAGGGTGCATCATGCAGCAGTTTTGGCAATGACCTCATCACCAGTGCAGACTTATTTAGTCTTTGTTTGCAGACACATGCAGACGAGCTGGACCAGCATCGTGTTTCTACATCACCGCGGCCTTCACACGCAAAACTATATTTTTCTTTTTATCTCGGTTCTTTCATGCTGATGGACCATTTAAAATCTCCCGTCTCCAGCATCTGTTTGTCTTCAACAGAACCAAAGCCAGAATGAATTAGCTGGTGTGGACTCTCACTCCTATGGCAGACCTTTTTACATCTCTCTCTCTCACTGTTTCTCTCTCTTTTCCCACCCTTTTTCCTTCCCTGTTTTACCCCAGAGCCCCTTTATCACAGTCGGGTCTCTGCAGAATTCTTAAGACATCTTTTAACAATAAAACTGTTCCATCACTAACTGTCCTTGAAATGTTAACTGTGCATGGCCCATGCAAGGAGGGAAAACAAAGATGTTTATTCCCACCTTGAAATGGAGAAGTAAAAAAAATGAGAAGAAAATCAAGATAGAGATAAAAAAATGATGAAGTAAATCAAGAGGAGACTCAACACAATGAAGAAACAGCAGAAATGTAGATGATACAAAGAAAATAAAGAAACAGAGAATAACAAAGAAAAAGAAAAAAGACAATGGAGTAGAAGAAATAAAGAAGAAAAACAGGAGGATAAAGAATGAAAAAAAGTGAAGGGAATTAAAAATAAAGATACTGAAGAAGAAGCAAAAGAGGAGGAATGTCACAGCAGTAATAGGAATAGTGATTTGGCAGGGTCTTCACAGCTGAGGCTCTTCTTCACACAACCTAACCTGGGATTTAGGACTGGGTGCATTGGGACCCAAAACCTAATTCATGACAGACAAGAGACCTACAACTGCACCATTTAATTTCCGGCCTCGAATAATTACCCAAGGTAATATAAATAGATAAATAAGAGAAGAAGAATGCATTGGAGGACAGAATGAAGCAAATCCATTCATTGTCACTGTCTCTGACCAGGTTCTATTATTAGACAATAAAATCTGCCAAACTGACCCTCAAATTGAAAACAAATAAAAAACAATACAAATAAATCTGGGGGGAAAAAAAAGAAACATACTATGGGCAGCCATTAGAAGCAAAGAAAATACTTCCGCTTTTCATCTTTTTCGAAATTATGAATCACAGGCGAGGAATCCAATTTCCTAGAATCTAATTGTGCACTGCATTCGAGTCTTTATAATCGAATTTGTACATTTGCTCCACGAAATGACTGGCTTGGACGGTGAGGGTCGGTTAGAATAAAAACTAATTTTGGTACAAAGTCGGAACATCAAACAAAGAGAATTAATGAAATCGCTTATCACCGTATAGTGGGTCAGTGAAACGGTATTCTCCAAAAAAGGCTGTGTGTTTGTCGGTGACCTGTTTTCACTTAAATAGCCATGTCTCCTTTGCACCTAATAAGAGGAATGCCTGCAAGAGGAAACAGAGGGTAAGAGATGGACATAGATAAGGTATGTGAACCGGCGGCATGTGGGATGAAGGGAGAGTAATGCAATAAGATCAGAAATGTGATAAACAAAATAAAAGAAAAAGGGCAACACAAACATTACCCCAAAAAAAAACATGTAAAACAAAGGGATGTGGAGAAACAACTAAAAAGAATCCTATTTTATAGGAATGTACAACTTTGTATATTTCTCCTAGTAGGTACTATACTATTGATAGACTGGGTTTGTCAGATTGAACACATTAATCCACGTATTTTTCCTCTAACATGAACCAGCATCAATGAGTGCAGGGCAGTAGGTAAGTCTACACCAGACTTCCTGTGAGCGAACTTACACAATCAGCAAATGGATTGTGAGAGATGGTAGACTGATTAATATTGAGTTTTGAAGGAAACTCTGTGTTCTACAAGCCACAGTGATGTCTAAAAATACACCGATTCTATGAAGCTGCATTTTGATTTATATAAACTTGGCAAATGTTTTCTTGAAATTTTCCATATTAATAATTCTCAAGATCATTTAGATTAATCACATATAAAAGTTTTAAACGCATACATCTACCTGCTATTAGTTGTCTTTCCTTTCCAGCAAAATACAGAAAAAAATGTTTTATTGTAGGAATGTTTTAGCTTGATAAATCATGATAAACTGATTAATCAAGGTCACGATTAATACACAGCAGCAGAGTGAATAAACAGAGTAAAAATATCACTAATTTGATGGCCCTACTATAAACAAATGAGTTAGTGTGTAGCACATATAAGTCTTGTCCATGTTTTGGAAAGTTTTAGAAAACCTAACATGCAACACAAGATGATAATAAGATATAAGACGTTCAATCAACGTTACACTGATAGTAAATCAAAACCCACGGGTCATAATACTGACACTGTTTCTCAGTCTATAAAAAGCAAATCTAGCCCAACCTTCACCTTTAATGGATTTTAGATGGATTTGATTTTTGGAACGGGACTGTTAAATCACAGATGGAGCTTCCAAAGTGTTTGAATTCACATGCAAACACAGACGAGTTTCCATCCCTGCCGCCAGTCACAAAGAGCAGATCTGAGCCAAGCTGTGCTGCCACAGGCTTGGAGCGCTCCAAGCACAGATGTTAGGCATGACACTGAGGGAGAGAGTCTGGACACTTGTTACTCAATTATTTAAGATGACACATCACCCCCCATTGGAAGATGAATAAGCTCTCTGTGATAGACCCCAGAATCATCTTTTATCTGCTGGGTCCACCAGCTGGAGTCCATTACACAGGCGGAACACACAAACACACACCCATGCACACTACACACAGGTGGGCACACTGGCACGGGCAAATTGATAACGTCGAAGTAAATACAGTAAATGTACTTTGGGTGTTAATAATTGAAAAAAAAATTAATATTGGCAAACAACCTGTAGTGCATTGTTCCAAATGACTCCAGTATTACAAAGCACACCTGTGTGNNNNACACCACCCCGGTCGATTTCAGAAGCACTTTTGCAGCCAACCTTCTACATTATATCTCTACTTCCAGCCTGGTAGTCCAACGCATCTGCTCCGTAATGAAATATTCAGCTGACTTTATAATTCACTGCAGTTTTGACTGCTTTGGGCAGAATGAAACAAGGGCTCTAATTTTTGTCTCAGCGATTAAAAAGGGAACCCTTTTGTATTTTTTGAGGAGAATTTATATAACATTTAAGAAAATGATAATATAACAATATACACGTAAGAACATCAGTCTGCACAGTGGCTGCATTTTATTTTTAAAAAGTTAACTTCTGTCCACTCCCCTGTGAATATTTGAGGGTAATAATACGATTGGAATTATATGTCTTATAATTAAATGATATATATTTAACTTGTTATGTCTCATAGAAATATACAGTATTCGCCGCTAGTCTGTGGAAAAAATTGTCCGACATAAAACTGGTCCCTGGTGCAAAAAAGGTTGGATATCACTTTTCTAGTGGCCCATGAACCAACCATTTACAACTACTGATGGGATTGAAAATACCCATTTACTACACAGTCCTTGTACTTTTATCTGGTGTTTCTATTCTAATGTTTGACTAACCTTTAAAATGCACGGCATTCACTAGTATCAGAGCTCCAGCTCCGGCCTTGATTTCTCCCTCCAAAGGAGCTCCTTCCAGCCCATCAAGTCCCTCTTTAACCCAGCCTTGAAGCAGCTCCAGGTCAGCCTTGGAATCCCCTTTCCCAAGCGGTTGATGCTGCAGTCTGAACTTGGCCTTGCTGTCCTTCACAAACGCCGGGCTGACCGCAGGGACCAGCTTAGAAAACACAGCTGAGGATGTGTGCAGGTGAAAGCTGGTCAAATTTGAGACTACAAAACTGTTTAATGCACTGGACAAGAGTTCTCTGGTCTGGGAACTATGTTTAGCAAAAGAAGAAACCCCCAAGAGATCCTGGAACTCGCTGGCAGTGGTGCCTGAAGCACCTGTTCCCAGTGCTCCTAGAGAGGAGGCCACAAGTAGAGGTGAAAACAGTGTGTTGACTGAGCTCACGTCAGAGCGAAGGGACTGGTACAACTTAAGGCCCAGAGCCCAGGTGGGGTCACCAAAAGGGGAAGGAGTAGGAGGAGGACTGGCTGGAGCAGAACCTTTGATGGAAGAACTGCCCTGTACAAGGAGCACTGGTAAAGAAATGAGGAGACACACAGGAAGTCTTGGCAGCATGGCAAATCTGAGAAAAAAAAAACTAAAATGAATATTAATACACTACTATTCAGCAATATCATCAACATTATGGATATGTTGTCATCATTGTGGCTTGTCGTTCAACAACACATGTTTACTCGTATCCTGTAAAGAGATGATAACAATACATGATAACAATACATGTGTATATATCTTTGTATACTTAAGATACTGTATATGTTGTATAAATAGCTATGTGAGAACTCATCAGATGTCATTGATGTCTACACATTCTACATGTAAACCTCTCAGTTGCTTTTTCGAATTGCATTCATGCTTTGAAACACATTGAAGGTCTGTCGTCACCATCGGTTACCATGAGCTAATATAAGTTACAAAAAGGAAGACATAGAATGACGCTAAAAAAAAACAACCAAGATTTAAAATAAGTAAAAGGGCCTTCACTGCTGATAACAGACAAATTCTTCTAGTGGAAAATGAAAAGTGCTTAAATGTCTGTCAGATAAATTGAGAAACTCTCTTCAGCTGCCCACTGTGAAGTTGCTTGAATCATCGTGGACAGAAATACTGATGATACACTGCGAGACTCCTCTATAACTGCTAAACTGGGCAGATTAAATACTGCTAAACCTCTTATAAACAGTCTGGGGAATTTAGGTTCAGGTTAAGATTGCATTAGAGACTTGGAGAAAAGGCATCACTTGATAAAAAATATTTGGCACCTGGGGTTGTCATGGCAGAACGGAACTGTCAGTTATGCAAATATCTTCAAATTGAAATCTAAAAAGTGGTCTTCAGTCAAATTTAATTGGTCTGAATTTAATTTTAATAAGATTAAGACCTGTCAGAAACATTAAGCATATCAAAGACTAGGTCAGTTTAATCAATCCTCGGGTAATGCTTGATTTGACCTACAGCAAATTCTCCTGTCCATAAATGTGTCCCAGTTCACAGGTCGCAGTCAATATTCACTGCAACCAGCGTTGTCCTTGGCTGCAACTGACCAGAAGTCAAAACTTGTTAAATGTGCAACTTACAGGACAAAGTATGACTTAACTTCTTTGCCAGCTGCTTTCAATCAAATGACATTCATTAAAGGTTTCTATTTATTGTAGTTTTTGTATGTATGTTTGACCAGGTTTTCTTAAACAAAATTCAGCTGTAATTTGTAGCATATCAAAATGCATGGCAAAGGCTAGATACCGTTTGGTTAAACATTCTATCACACTCTCGATAATAAATGCAGCTGCTGGTGGACTGCTGCTCATTGGATCACAGATCTAACATAGGAAATTGATGTAGCCAACTGGTTGCAAAGGTGAAGCCCCATAAGTTGATCCCATTGTCTCCTCAGCCAAGTTTGCTACTTGCATGGGACTGGACTAAAAAAAGTTGGTAACATCCTATAGTCTTGGCAACTAGTTCTAGTTCCTAATTACGTCAGTTTGGTAAATTACACTTGGTGAAAGAAAATCTGAGTATGTTAATGAAATATATGTGCTACAGGATCATCAACAAAATGTTTCCTGACATTATTATACAAAATATTTTTGCTTGGGCTGTCAAACAACTACTTTGTGTATCGTCATTCAAAGTCTCTTAAAACTTTGGTGAAGCACAGATCCTCAACAATATTAATCAGTCTACAGGTTTTAAAGATCTATTTGGCAGTTACAGTCGTGTATTCGATGAGGCAGATCTTCCAAAAATCAGTGTCTCACCTGTAGTTGAAGCCCATGCAAACATATACTGGGTGTGGATGTATTATTTTAAGCTTATTATGATAACAACTTTGACCTTTAAAGTTTGTGTAAATGCCAACATGTGCATTGACTGTGTATTAGAGCAACTGTAATGGACGGGGGCAGTGGAGTTATTGGAAGTACAGTGAAAGTCATGCTACACATGTTAAAATATGTTTGCATTTTGAACTGACAGTGGAGTTATTGGAAGTACAGTACACTGAAAGTCATGCTACACGTGTTAAAATATGTTTGCATTTTGAACTGATTAACTTCACACATTAATTATTGCAGCTAACACTTTTATTTCGAAATACGTGCAAAACATGGGAATTGCAGGGGAAAAGGCAGAAGTATAATGATAATATAAATAATTTATATAATTTGGAAAAGTTTGGCGGGCCAGATTAAAAATCTGAATGGGCCACTTCTGGTCCCTGGACCACAGTTTGCCCATGCCTGGGTTAACCCAATCTATTACTTATTGTCTGGACCTTTTTCCACAGTGCAAGAGCCACACTGTCACTGTCCTACTCATGTTTGACTTAAAGCAACATCATAAAACAGAGCCTCAAGCTACACTGTTAGCAGTAAAACGTATATGTTCCTATAGAGCAGGGGTGTCAAACTCATTTTGGTTCACGGGCCACATACAATGTAATTAGATGTCAAGTGGGCCGGACCACATAACATAATGAACTATAATTAAAAATGTTTTCCCCCTTTCTTTTCATGAAAAGAAGTATATTAGATATTTATTATTATTCATTCATATGTAATGAAATATAATTTAAAAAATATATATCATGATGTGAACATGAAGTATTTGTGTATTTTTTGTGGGCCATATTGAACTGCCTAGGGCCGGTTTTGGCCCCCGGGCCGTATGTTTGACACCCCTGCTATAGAGCCACGCCACTAAACGTCATTTGTAAATTCCTCGCCAGGCGACAACTTACTTATTATCTCCCCAACTGACGTTTGATAACAAGGTTTATTAAAGCCCTTTCTGTCGTTACGTGCTGAACAAACGGATGGAACTGTGAAATGATAGGCGTGGTTGGTTTTGGTCTTTAGAAAACTTAAGAGGCGCAAAGATTTTCCGAGACGGTGAGAGCAGTGACTGGAACCATCTGTCTGTCCGCTGCTGCAGCTCCGCGTAACGTGACGCTTCTGCTGTTATTGTTTTGTTTTTCCTTCCGCGACGGTAGAGAAAATACTTTTTTGTTGATAATTTACCGTTAAGTTATCCAGCTGTATCCCTCCGCTGCTGCCGCTTTTCTCGTTGATTATTCAACTCCAGAGGAAGTAGACCTGGGATGGAGCTCAGACGTGGCACGGCACAGAGGAAGTTCACCGGTTCACCGGAAGTCCTCACAAGCCAACGGTTGTCATCGCGACTCCTACGAGAGGAAACAACAGTGGTTTCCCACCATATGTTTAAAGAGCAGTGCAACCAAAGCGTTTAAAATGGGTTTTACTTTTTAGAAGTCAAACGCCAATAATTAGCTATACGTTAAATCAAATCACTAGTGTTTATAATGGCAAACTACAGTTGATAGTATTTACTAATCCATACCTATTGAAACCCCAATAATATGGAATAAAACAATCACCATTTCAAATTGTTTTTCCCACAAACCTAAATTTTTTGTTACACTCGTGTTGCAGTCACTTTTAGTCACATTAGTTTGAAAGGTTAAAAAGAAAACATTGTAACAGGGACAGTTACATCAATTGATTTGGTGACATGCTGTTTTTTTTCCATTATCCTTCACAAGTATCATATCTTAGCATCTAAGGTAACTTGAGTTATCATTTAAAAATTAAAGTTCATTACTTTAACTACTGTAGGCTAATGTGAAAGCACTGCCAATATGGTCAGGGTGTCAAACTCACTTTTACAGGGGACCACATCAGCAATACAGTTCCCCTTGAAGGGCCGGTTGTAAATGGGAGATTGTATAGATCAGGGGTCCCCAACCCCCGGTCCACAGACCAGTACCAGTCCATAGGTCATTTGGTAGCGAGCCACAGTGGGACACAGTGAACAAATGTACTAAATCTAAAATAATTTACTTCATTTAAAGAAAATTCAGTCATATCCATTTACCTTCTTTATTTAAAGATAAACTAATAGACTAATACATGTTTCTGCAATTGATTATTATGTATTCAAGCTACAAATAGTGTCCATTGCTGTGTAATAAAAAACAACTTTAATTTCATAGGTTAAACTCTGCTGCATGGACTTTACTAAATGTTTTTTAAGCTCCTGCTGGCCACACAGAATCGTTTGGCGGGTGGCATTTGGCACCTGGGCCTTGAGTTTGACACTTGCAATATGGCTTGCCATGTTAAAAAAAATAGTACACTCTCCTTATGAGAGTGTATCCATGAGGGTAGTAGTCGATCTATTTCATATTGCTTTCTTTTGCCTTTAGAAAATAAATGTTAAATTGTTTTACCTTAAACTTACATATTGCACGTATCAGTGACAAAACCAGAATAAAAGTAATCTTTAATATGTTAACATGTCTAAAACATGACACGGAGGTGTGCAAAAGCCTGCAATTAAAATGTATTATACATAACATATATGAACTATATAATAATATATACCTAAATATAATTTAGGTCCTCTTGGAGCAAACGAACGCTTTCGTTTCCTACAAAGAAGACATATGCTGGTGATTATAATCTCCACTGTCCGTGGTCATTTGATGCTGCAGTTCACCAATCCTGTCGAGCGGGGTCGCTGATGTTCTTCTGGCGCCCTGGCTCAGTGACCCAGAGAGACATGGCAGCATGTGGGCCAGCTGCTGTCAGTCCTGACCGTTAGGCCTCACAGTGGTACATGCACACCCCAGATACTACACACTCTTGACTTTAGGTGGGTTTTTTTTCCCTTTACTGTGATGATTTAGGCCAAGTCTACCTGGCTATAGGGAGGCTTTCAGTACTACAAAGACCATACAGGATTAGATATAGTATTGTAGTCTTTATCAACGCTACATGTATTGTTATATTTCACCAGTTGCATGTGTAACACATGACTATAATTATATAGGAAAAGGGTAAAAAACGCAATGGCATAATATTGTCCCTTTTATAGATCCTTTACGTACTGAAAATGAATTTGACCGCACACATGTCCTCTCTCCCACCCTCCCCATCTATCTGATAAGTTAGTTAAAATAATGTAGATCTACTGACAAGGGAAAATAGGACAGACTATGTCGGCCTGTGTTTCATGTGACCCCTCAAAATGTCCTCATTCTGTATGCCCCTCATTCTCTCTGTTTTTTTTTTCTTCTTTAAATTTAACTTCACACCTCCCTAAATTCTACCACAATAAAACAAGAAGTTCAGGGCAGGTAACACAGGGTTCTGGAACAAGGATTATTGCCCAGATTGAGGGCTGTAAAATGGTCATATAGGGTCCTAATCAATAAAGGTACAGATAGAGTAGGGAGGCTTGGCCAGGATCAGAGAGGGATATGTGGGGAGATAACTGCTCCAGACCACCAATGCTCAGCAATCAGTCCAAACATGACAGGCCGTAGCCCTGACCAATTATTTACCCCAGTCAAATCAATACATTGCTCTCCGAAAGATAGCCATCAACAGCACTATCTGCAACACACTTACAGCAGATAGCATAAACACACAGCGTGCACTCCTCCGATTGCACTGGCTCTGTCTCAAACTCTTCAAACGTACACAAAAACACACATCACACATCAAATTACCGCTCACAGAAGACAAATATTAAAACTGTTTACGCCAAATTAAAATACAAACAACACGTAATGACATCACAGGCACTTCTGACACTCACACACAAATACTAACACAATAAAATACCGTGTGTTTGATTTTTGCAGTTAAGAGTGGAAGTGCACGACCTCAGAGGTCGTAACCCTCACGAGACAAGTCATTGACTCGTGTGTTCCCCTCCCGGGACTCCTGAGCTCCACATCCCGGTCAGTCTGGTCAGTAACGAGCTGCGACACACTTTACAGGTGATTCATAAAAAGATGGCTTGTGCTGCGGTTAAACGAGCCCCCCTGGGAACTGGGTGGGAAACCGCTCAGTCATGGGATTTGTGAAGAAAGGTTTTTTCTTTAACCAGAGCACACCACAACATCTGCTTTTTTTCTACCCAGACCACAGGAGGTCTTCCTTGACCTCGACCTTCCCCACGTTGTCCAGACCTTACATAGCACCTCCAGAGTCAATATCTATAAATATTCTCCATGTTTACACTGGCGGAGTCAGAATGAAAGTCGGATTAAAGTAAAATATAAGTCATCAAAATAATACAACACCCATGAGTTCGTTATAAATACATTTCTTTCTCCAAACATAACTATAATGCAACCTAAATAAATTTAAAAAATGACCTTGTGGTTGAACATTGCCCCCATAGGCAGAAGGAATTTCACTTGTTCACGACTAAAGCTTATTTTGGGAGCTGATAGATATGCTGATGGGTAAGCCTATGATTGACTCATGGATGTAGTTAGATGAACATCAGTCACACCTCAGAGATGACAACTGGCCCTAAGTGTTCATAAAATCTCTGCAAATGAAAACAGATTTTTAACATTCACCAGAAAGTGCAAGAATATCTCAGTTTGCGGGACAATTAAAAACAAAACAATTAAACAACAAAAACAAACGTGTAGTGGCAATAAGAAATAATCAGTTGCCAATGTTCCAACCTCAATTAAATGTATTAAGGTATGTAGACCTGGTGAAGTTAAACAAAGGATCAGAATGTAAAAGAATAGCAGGAGGTCTTTTTGAAAACCTTACTGCATCTAATGCTTTTCCTGACACGTTCTTCCTCACTGGAGATGGAAGTTGGAACAAAGGCTGGATTTGAATCAAAAGGCAATCACAGTTTGAACAGACTGAGAGCTACATTAACTCTCTCCAGTGTTCTGGTTTTCCTTCTTTTCATTTTTTTTCTTCTTTTCTTTCTACCTACATCTACCCCTTCCCAAACCTTTACTCTGCTTTTTAGGAAAAATATATTTCTCTATTCCTGAGAAGTCTGTCATTACATTTGCTTTCCCCTTCTCTTTCCTCTCCTGAGATGAGTAGTACTCTCTCTTTAAACTTTATCCTCCTTCACACGTATACACACACACATATCTAATCCTAGATCAGGTTGTTATTTCTAATGTTTTTACCATTGACAATACCCTAAACACTTCTCCTAACAACTATGTGAAGATGTTCCATTTCTGGCTTCCATGCCAGCTCCTCCTCTCCCCCCTTTTTCACAACTCATTTCCGCTCCACTTCTCACCCGTTCCCTTGCTACGACTCCGACTCGTATCCTATGTCTTCTCTCCCTTTCCCTGATCTGTTGAAATCTCTTCCCATGCCTCTTGCGTCTTGCGGATTTTGGAGTCCATTCAGAACAAACAGTGTGTAACATTTGGGCTCCTGTTTGTGTCAGTACTGGCTTCCCTCTGTGTCATCAGCTCTGATCATTTAAACCAATGGACCCAGTTTGGACCCAGTCTGGATCAGTCCTCTGGGTGCTGTTGGTCTGCAGCAAACGTCTTTGTGGTCTCTTCAAATTAAAGCTTTTATCCTCTGACCAGCGGAGTTGCTAAACTGAGCAGTACCTCCAAACCAGTGTGACTCTGGCAGAACACTCCAAACCAAACCTCTGCTTCATATTGGCATTTCAAGTCTTCTCTTTTATTTTTTTATTTGATGATTCAAAGAAAAGAAAAGGTAGGTGAGGCAATCCAACAGAAACCACGAGTTAACATTATTTGTGAGTAGAATTAAACAGGTTCTAAAAGGAACAGGCGAGACAGACATCAGCTAAGAGAATGCTTAGGCCCGCTCTACTGAAAATCTAAAAATACATATTTGGGTTGGGATTTTGGGAGTAGAGGATGAGTGTCCCCATCTGGGATATTTTTTCCCCCCCTCTCTACTTCAAAACTAGGACAAAACTCAATACTGCAACAGGAGGTATGGCCGGACAGATGGAAAAGATGGGAATATGTGCTTTTAATCAATGAGACCAGACAAGAGGGGAAAGGTGAGGGGGGGGGACACTGGCCGTCGGGGTCGGGGAGACCATGTAGAACGGTGCCAAAATCACAAACACGTCCACAGCTTTAAATGATTCCTGCAGGATTCTGAGGGGTTGGAGACACAGCGGTAAAACATCCGCCTTTTTTAAATTACCCACATATAATTAAAGTGCCAAGAGGCAGTATACAGGGGGACGCTGCTACAGTATATGGGTCAGGATCGGGTGAGAAAAGCAAATACAAAGCTTGTCTTGTGTTCAGTGAGTCAGACAGAAACCCACCAAAGTAGACAGCTGCTTGAAGCAAATGTCCACATCCATCTCTGTAGTAATATT